AAGGTTTTCCCCTTGTGTTTTCTTTTATTTATATTCGGGATATACCAACACATTAAACGTTAATTAAACACTAAATCTCTTATAATAAGGCAAGAAGCATAGAAATGGGGACGAATAAATGAAGGTTGTTGGAATGCCTTAATGGTACGTGTTTAGGACGCAAGGCAATGGTGCTGTCCGCCGGGGCCAGCCGAGTTGCAACTGCCTGCTGCGACAGCCTTCCTCGATAACTGAACAGGAGCTATCTATACACGCTAGTGGGCTGCCACGTGAAACGCAAGAGCTCCTTAAGATATCAGTCAATTCTTTGTGCCATCAGGGGAGATAATTGACTTTTACATTCCTACAATACATTAAAAGTGAAAGAAAGGGGGAAAAAAAAAACTGGACGTAAACAAGGAGTCAGTTGTGTTATATTCATATGCAAATCTCCACCATATAAATAGCAGATAATATTGCTGGAGGCAAAACTAGTCCTGACCATGACTAGCTGTGATCTGTTCCAGCCAAACAGGCGAACTCTCTGCCTTCGGGCAGAGAGAAACCCGGGCGAGGCTCCGCTGAAGGGCAGAGTCTCGTTCGGGGAGGTAGACTGCCCCGGAACCCGTTTATACGGGTTCAAAAGGGAATATTTTTGGTCCAGCCTAGGGGATCGGAGAAGCCACGTTAAACCGGCCTTGTGCCACATACAACCCTCGTGAGGGGGGTGTAGCTAAATATACTAGTCCTGACCTTGACTAGCTGCGACCTGTTCCAGCTAAATAGTCGAACTTTCTGCATCCGGGCAGAGAGGAACCCGGACGAGGCTCCGCCGAAGGGCAGAGTCTCGTTCGGGGAGGTAGACTGCCCCTGAACCCGTTTATACGGGTTCAAAAAGGGAATATTTTTGGCTAAGCCTACGGGCTCGGAGAACCCACGTTAAACCGGCTTTGTGCCACATGCATCTCTCGAGTGGTGGGTAGCTAAATAGTGCTGACCTTGAAGATTAAACTATTTCTCTAGTAGCTTAGTCCTTACCTTGAGGACTAAGCTACTAGAGAAATAGTTTTGCGACAAGTTGTACCTATCATTATTGTCGCGTTTTTATGGAGACCGAACTCTGAGACAGATGGGAATTACGAAATTAGTTCAACTAGTTTATTCTTTCTGGGTGAAAGAATTAATAATTCCTTTTTATGCATCAAATATTGGACGATTCCCTCAAAGATGAAGAAGAGACAAATGTATGGTTCTACAGAAGGATGCTGTGGTTATCATGGACCGATCATGTGAGCAACGATGAGATCTTGGGGAGGTGGCAAACAAGGAGGAGGCTTATATTTAACATCAGGAAGAGGCAGCTTAAGTTTCTGGGACACATAATGTGGAAGAAGGGATTGGAGAATCTGATACTCACGGGTCGAAAAGATGGAACGAAAGACAAGGGAAAGCAACGCATGACATACCCAGCGGGCTTAAGCAAGTGGATGACGTGGTCTTGGGGAGGTGGCATAATGACGAAAATTATTGAGAGCTACAATGGATAGGGGGAAGTGGAGAGCCATGATCGCCTATGTCCCGAAAGGACACGACACATAAAAAAAAGAAGAATTCATAGTGTCCGAATACGTCTCCTAGTAAAGGTTTCGAAAATTAGCAGGAGGTAACCCGACACCAGCTTCAACTTGTCATTTAAGTCAGAAAGTGTCATTTAAAGCGGTAATATCGTGTGAAACTTTCTGTAAGTGGAGTGACAAGTTTCCTCGATTTTAACGAACACTAACCAACACCATCACTTGACTAAGCACGACTCCTACTACAGCTACTACAACTACTACATTCATTCTCTTGCCACTAGTACAATTACTGAGTTGCATATTAACAGTAACTGATGAGTTTACGTTGGAGATCAAATGAGGACACGTTACCCAAATATTCTTTGACATATTCTTTCGAGTTATCAGGCGGTATACAATTTAGTCACGTTTTCTTATTTCGTTTTAAATTTATCATCATTTACTACTTATCCATCCTATTCACCATCATTTTCCCAACCCACAACAATAACATCATCATCATCAACAACAACAATAATAATAATAATAATAATAATAATTATTATTATTATTAGTAGTAGTAGTAGTAGTAGCACTATAAATAATGTTTTTGACCTGCATTTGTTTTACAATCACAATCCGGGTCATAAATGATCTAGGGCAGGCGAAAGAATATGATGTTGTGACAGTTTCCACTTAATTAGATAAAGAAATTACAATGCCCATCACAGGATTTGGGCTGTGTTTCTTAGAACTATTATTATTATTATCATTATTAATATTATTATTATTCAACTCTGCCTTTTCCTTCTTATTTATCCTCTCCTTTTTCATATTCTATTTCTCCATCCTATTCACCATTATCTTCTTCTTCCCATTATTATTATTATTATTATTATTATTCCCCTCTGCCTTTTCCTTCTTCTTTATCCTCATCTTCTTCATTTTCTACTTCTCCATCCTATTCACCATTATCTTCTTTTTCCCATTATTATTATTATTATTATTATTATTATTATTCACTTCTGCCTTTTCCTTCTTCTTTATCCTCATCTTCTTCATTTTCTACTTCTCCATCCTATTCACCATCACCTTCTTCTTCCCATTATTATTATTATTATTATTATTCCCCTCTACCATCATAAATATCATCATCATCATCATCATCGTAGCGAAAATATAGAAACCTATATTCTGCTATTGCATGATTTACAGGGGCATGCCGACTTTGCGGAGAAGGAATCATCTGTACTGGATAAATCTCTGGTTGGTCTCAGTGACAAGGGCTTATCGGGAAAACTCCAGCTCCAAAACTGACCTCTCACCGAAGGAAGCAATAATAATTGAACGTCAACATCAACGGTGGTGGGGATGCGATAACAAATATAGAAACAAAAGTGAGCATTGAAACGGGTGAAACCAGACCGAATATTGGGGACCACGTCAAGCCTCTCTCAGAGCAAATGCAAGAATTGCTCTGGGAAATATCACATCAAAATAGACGGTTAAGCTAAAGAAAAGACATATTTTATATGGGGTAATCCAAATAATTTTGCTATTTTTGTCGCTGTCGACACTGTAGACAGTAAAAACGATGTCCTTACCTACGAGGGTAAATCAAAAATTATTCACACTTACGCCATAACATATCTTTAGATCCGTCACACGGCCTTCTTTTCATGCGTCATTATAGTTCCTGTGGTCGAAGTTCCAGCTTGATAGCGCCAACTTTCTTGCTGCCGTTACAGTGTAAACATGGCCGCTCTGCTAGTAGTGTACACCAAGTAGGAACAAAGAGCTTTGATCCGATTTCTCTGGTTTGAAGTTGTGTCAGCGGCTGAAATTCGTTGGAGGCTTTTAATACAATACGGCGACAATGCACTGCTGCGTAGAAGGGTGTATGAATGGGCCGATAAGTTTAAAAGTGGCCGGACACAAGCGTGACACACGAAGTAGGAGTAGGACGCCTGTCAGCCACAATCACCGACGAGAAGATTCAGCAAACTCGAGAGATGGCAAATCAGTTCACTGCTCTTTGTCCGTCATTGGTGAATACTGCTAGCGGAGAGGCCATGCTTACACCGAAACAGCAGCAAGAAAACTGGGATCACGTGACCACAATAGTGTCAACTATAAGCACGCATGAGCAGAAGGTAGTGCGATAGACCTAAAGATGTATTATGGCGAAAGTGCGGATAATTGTTTTTACTTACCCTCGTACTTACTTGGCGCATTATGTTCTAATGAAACATCATTGCAAACGCAGCTAAATATTTGTGGGTAGGACCTTCAATTTAAAATTGATATTGGTGCTGACCTATCAGTGATCTCCTTGCGTCAATATCACGAACCCGGTTTAAAACCTTCACTCAGACCTACTAAGGTGATATTTAGACCTACAGGCTATACCATGAAATGTCTGGTACAAGATACCACGTGGGTCAACGAATGTGCTAACGGGACTATCCCATTACATTTATTTGATGCACAGTGGGCTATAAGTTTTTAGCCACCCTTGATTACAGCAATGTTGGGTTGTTTAATAACGTCTCTTGTTTTTTTTTTTTGAGACAATACCGTGTTAGTATCAAGCTACTCTCATCTATGAACAATAGTTGACAAAGTTCGTGGAAATAAGGAAATTAGTGAATTACAACAAGAGCAAATAATAGAATGGCATCAGTGTAGCAAGGCAAATAGAATAGAAAAATTGCTAGGTTTTTCCAGGTTAATCATCAAATCATATTGCCAAGAAATTTAATGGAGAAGGCCATTGACGCGTGGATCATTGTCGACCATTGTCGTTCAGAAAGACCAAGTATCGTGTCTGAGCGAACGAAAAGGGCACTGAATAGGGAAGTCATCAGAAACTGTCGTCAGAGCGTCAAATGTGTCGTCAACAGCATGGAAATGTCACCATATGCGGTGAGAAAGACTCTGAAAGAGCTAGGCTATCAAAGAAGTTTTGCAAGAAAGAAGCCTTTCATTTCAGCGGTTAACAGCAAACTTCGTATGGACTGGGTGAGAGAATTCGAGAGCAAATTTTATGAATTTTGGCAGCCTGTAATTTGGTCAGATGAAAGTAAATTCTGCCAACATTCTAATTCGAGATTGGGTTATGTTTGGAGAAATCAGAATGAGACTTGGAACACCGAATGTCTGCAGGCGCGCGTGAAACATGGAGGGATTGGAGTCATGGTGTGGGGCGCTATCTGGTTGGGAGGGAGATCTGAACTGATTCTTGTTGACGAGCAGTTGAATGGTAAAAAATACTGTCAAATATTAGAGAAAGGACTACCCCACTATTTGAAACCAATCAGATTGACAAGAATGTCTACCTATTTCCATAAGATGGAACGTCATGTCATACGAGCAAAGTATCAAAGAGGCGCGTAAGTGAATATAACGAACCCAACAGAAATTGGAACTCGGCTCTTCGATTACCAATTTCGATTCATTATCCATTACATCCTCTGGTATTCCCAAGCGGTCACTCATCTAGGTACTGACCAGGCTCGACGTTGCTTAATTTCGGTGATTGTGTGGGAATCGGTTTTTAACGTGATATGGCCGTAAGCCTAAATTTCACTAGAGTGAATCGGCTAGTCAGTGATTCTCAACCGCCGTGCCACAGGACACTTCAGTATGCCGCGATATATATATATATATATATATATATATATATATATATATATATATATATATATATATATATGTGTGTGTGTGTGTGTGTGTGTGTGAGTAGTAATGGTAAAACTTTATTATTTTACTAAAGAAGCTGCACAAACAGTTGAATAGAAACATTGAAATAAAGTGATATGTCCCGGAAAGAGACATATTTGAACGAAGTAGCTAAGTGGTTTTGGCTACTATAACCAAGTAGAATACGGTAGCAGTAAACCGACTGGTAAGCGTCGTAGTCTCAGGTAAGAAGTGTAGACCAATAGGATAGACAATGGCGTAGTCCAATGGGCGTCATTCTAGACTTAGCTCTCAGACTAAGGCTCTTTGACTCTCCTACACGTCCGTCTGTATTTATGACGGACACCAGCCAATCATATTCCAGTGAGGGGGAACACAGGTGTATGTAAATTCCATTATATCATAAAGTAAGTTCATATTTGTGTGTGTATTTTTAAAAAAAATCTATGGTTTTATTCCATAATATTTGAATGTATACGCTTTAAAAATTTTGCTAAGAGTCGTGATATTTTCATTTGCTCTTTGATGTGCCGTTGCCTAAAAAGGTCGGGAAACACTGGGCCAAATTTTGTATCGTCCACGTGAATGATATACAGAGAAGAATGAGTGCTTAATATATTTATACAGCACCCGTATCCGCTGCTAACGGATACATACAAAAACACAGAACAATAAATTACAAACAATTAACAAGACGACTTACAAGGAATAGATGAGGGTCAAATGTTGTATAGTCAAACGAAGTAAGATCAATTCGAATATTAATCATCTTAGTATCAACTTATTAATCAACTGTTGAAGTCCTAAATCGTAGACTCTTTAAGGCTATGTGCCAGGTCACCTGTTATAGTGCTGAAGGGGTGCTAGCTACTCTACAACACTAAATGAATAACAGTTATATATGGTCGCTATTTTATAAGAACCCTCCCTCTAGGATTTTATCGGCCTCTAAAATCGACCGAGATTTGTGATAAAGAAGACAACGATATTTAACGAGGACGACGTTTTGTGTGAGTCACATTTGGACAGCTTTTAAAACACATCAATTGGTCGGATTAAAATAAAATAAAGATAAATTCGAACTAAGATGAAAGGAGTTTGTATTTCTTGAGCACCTCATTTAGAAAAAGGAAATACGGCCTAACCCAAAGAGGAGACCATTTTAAAAATGCCCTCTCCGCAAAAATGTTTCTGGAACTAAAACGACCGCTGGGCATGATAAACGTTTTACGTCTATACATTTATCAACAGCCCTTCGACCAGTAACTGAATTTCTAGAAGAGTCCAAGGAGCGGTGTCAGGGTCAACAAGAGATCACTGCTCTTAATCAAGTTAAGCAACAGCTATTAACAGAACCAGCTCTTGCATACTCTGAATTGAGGAAACCAGAAATCAGTTCTAATGCAAGTAACTTTGGAATCAGCGGTGTTTTCTTACAAGGGGAAAATTGTGTCAAGCTCATAGCATTTTGCCCGCGAAGGTTAATGATAGTAGAAACAGCCTCCGCCCAGATCGAGATGGAATACCACCCCGCCATCTAGGTATGTGTTAAATTCGAAATGTATTTAGTTGGCCTGGAATCTTTCAGCGATCATAAAACATTTATTCCATTAATAAATACAGGGGACTTAAACAAGACATCTATTTGTTGCCAAAATTTAAGGAAATTATTGAGATTCAATATCAACACAGTTTTTGCCAAGGGGAAAGGATGATATTTGAAGATACGGCCTAAGATAAAGTTCAGACAAACTTAAAGCGATCAACATGTTCAGTCATGACCCACTTTGACCCGGGGTAGTAGCACCTGTTAGGATCTCAGCTATGGGCAAATTGTGAGACGTCAAACAGAACCAAAACGCTATGAAAGTATAAAAATGCCAACAATATATTATTATTGTTATGGGAACTTACCTATAACGATAATGAACTCTTCCTGACACTATAAATACCGAGCTTAAAAACACAAAACCTCTCAACCTCTCAACAGGTATGATGAATGAATGGTATAACGAGCACCAGGTCCTGACTGTTGAACTCTCTGCTTTGGCAGAGAGGAACCCGAACGAAGCTTTGCCGAAGGGCAAGGTTTCGTCCGGGGAGATAGACAGGCCCTGAACCCGTCTAGGCGGGTCTAAAGGGTATATTTTTGGCCGAGACTACGGGCTCAGAGAAATCCACGTTAAACTCGGCCTTGTGCCAATTGCAACCATCGTGGGGGGGGCTAGATACCGAATGAATGGTGTAACAAGTCAAGACAATATTAGTTCACTCTAAACCAGACGGGCAGTCATTACTAACACCTTCAACTTCTTGTACTATATTTCTGTTGTAATATATCTTTGATATTCTACTCTTGTGTTTGTGTTGTTCTTCCTTGGTTCTAACCTTGGACCATAACTGTGGTGCGAGGATATTGGATCATAACAATTATATAAAAAAGTTACCAACGATACATATTTATAATAAAATTACTGGAAATACTAATAAATTTTAGTGACTTCACCCAAATCCGTTTAAAATACTACCAAACAACTAACATGAACACTTTGATGACATCAATCCATATAATATCCGACAATTCATTAAATCAATTTGTATTCTCAAATATAATTTCAATAAAACTACGACATAAAACCCACGTATCACCGCCTCTAGTAAATATGTCTACACAATCATCTACATGTACAAAAGCTGAGCATCATCTACCATGTATTCAATTGTGAAAGCAGAATAACATATATCATATTTTTATTACTTTGGAACTCCCAAGAAAATTAAATTTTGACATTAAATGACCTATAACGAGTTGATGTGCCTTTAAATAAATTATCAGCTGGTTTGGTACGTGCAGAGTATTGACTATGCAGAGGCTTATCTTGCTATCGATTCTGCATTTGATCCATTCTCTTCTGTTTTAGGTGTATTATGGTTTAGTTCCCTTTTTTATTCACTTGAAATTACCTTTTGAATTTATTACTGAATAAAGTTTCTTATTTCTTTTACGTTCTTTGGCCCAGATTAACATTCAGTCTTCTGTAGTTTCCAGGAATCTTTGAAGGCCGATTGTTGTAGTTTTGTGAGACAGTTCTAGTTGAACTAATCCTCAGCCTTCTTCGGATCTGGGCACATACAGACAATCAACATCAGTCTTAGGATGCTGCATGCGGTGGCAATTGATAAGTTTTCTCGTTTTGACACCCAATTGATTTATTATTGTTATTTTATTTCCTTTGATTTCTGGTGTGTACTCATTTCTTTCCCGGTCTCGACCAGAGTACCTAAGGTCGGAAATGGCATCACGAAATTTTCCCCTGAGCATTTACAAAAAATCATACATATTTTACATAGATAAAGCCCTTTGTAAGATGTTGGCCGTACTCGTGAGAACAAATGTGCTTTTTAAAGACTTGGGCTTCGAGGAATCTCTTCAATGTGTCTATTAGTATCTTTTCCAATTAATCCGGGGGCTCCAAATACTACTGGAATTGTTGAGGTTCTTATGTGTCACATTTTTGAGATTTCGATTCTGATAGTTTTTTTGAAAATCTTCAAAGATACATTGCAGTCTGCAGGGACTGCCATATAAAGGAAAGGCACCTTTTGTGTTTGTGGTCTCTAATAATGATGTCTGGGAGATTAGCTATTATTATTATTATTATTATTTAAATCTGCCTCTTCCATCTTTATTTGCATATTCATTTTCTACTTCTTCATCCTTCACGTCGGCTGTTTACTTCTTCAGGCGCATCGTCTTCTCCACTGCTCAATCTCCTTCTTCATTATTATCAACATCATTATCGTCAGCATCAATACTAACCTTATCGATCATGTGCATTACCAAACACAAGATTCTATTACTCTGCGTTTTACAGTACTTTAAATACTAGTTCTTCATTTTGTTAGCTTGAAAGAAACTGAATGCACAAAACCTGAAACTAGTTGGCTTCTTACTAGCTCCCGGCCAGAATTTGTCAGCGCCAAAATAATATCTACTAAAACGTACCAGGCTGCTATGAAAACAACAAGGAAAGGCATAGAAGACGCCCCCTATAAAAACAAAAACAAAAACAAAAACAAAAAAACGAAAACGAAAACCAAACTAGAATAACAAATAGCAGGTGACAAAATGGAAGAATGTCACTGAACAGCACAAGTAAAATGTGACAACTGTAATGGCAAACTGCAATGACATCATGTGTCAACAAAATTCTTACAATGGCGGACAAAAGCGAAACGATATAAAGGGCTGAACGGACGGGAAAATACGGAATCGGAAATGTCGGTTAAATCTATAAACAAAGATGTAAAAAAAAAAAAAATGCTAATGAAACGGTGATTTATGGAGGGGAAAAGAAACAGTAGAAGATCTAAAAAGGACAAAGCATAGTAAAAAAAGAAGCTGATGAAAAGGAAGAACTTCCAAAACAGACGGATTAACCAATAAACCAAAAATGATGTATTTGTAGAAAAAAAATGGTGGCACTAATAGTAGCAAGTAAAATGTGTAAATACTGCAGATGATGATGATGATAAAGAAGGAAAAAGCGGAGGTGAATAATAATAATAATAATAATAATAATAATGGGAAGAAGAAGGTGATGGTGAATAGGATGGAGAAGTAGAAAATGAAGAAGATGAGGATAAAGAAGAAGGAAAAGGCAGAGGGAATAATAATAATAATAATAATAATAATAATAATAATAATAATGGGAAGAAGAAGGTGATGGTGAATAGGATGGAGAAGTAGAAAATGAAGAAGATGAGGATAAAGAAGAAGGAAAAGGCAGAGGGGAATAATAATAATAATAATAATAATAATAATAATAATAATAATGGGAAGAAGAAGATGATGGTGAATAGGATGGAGAAGT